GCTGAGCCGTGAGGCTTGTTTCTTAACAAGGAACCTCCTTGTTTTTTATTGCTTCCTAATGGTCTGACCCTCAAATGATTATATTACATTCTGCCAAAGTGTTTTCATTCATTTTTCACATCTCTTAGTGATTTCTTAATTTTGCGTTTTTATTGTTTCAGTTTTCAATCACACAGACATAAATTAAAGCTCTGTTTCTTCTCATAGTATTGGGATGTCGATTAACCTCATTCCTTGGGTTATAAACTAGAAACAGGTCTAGAGGATAATCACCTTGATATAAGTTATTATCGTTTCTCTCTATTGATTCTTGTTGAGATTTGAGATCTTATTGGTATTGCCTACATTCTCTTAGATATTAATCTTAGATATTGCTTAAAAGGTTGTTAGGTATTAAAACCTGTCAATGTTTTTCTTGAAGGTGAGTGACCTTTCATTCCATGATTCATTAGCTACTTTCATTGCTATTCTGATAGCACGACAGTGTTTTTCCCTGGAGGACGTCGTGCAGCATGTCGCACTTCCCTCTCTCCTAGCGGCAGGTAAGGTGACGCCCTGGAGTGCCATTTGTTATTTGATTGATATCTTGATGGAGTGGCTTTAAACTGTTAAAACACTGGGAAAGGTGAATTTGCGGGTCCGTACATTAGGGAGTGGTGTGGCATCTCTATAGAGAGGGTACAGTTATTATGGCTGTTCCACACAGAGTAACGTAGATCCCCTGGGAAAATGTTGGAACCTGCTATTTCATCACCTGTTTTAAGGAAGTACTCAGGTTTCTAAGAAAAGTATAGCCAGGGCCTTGCTTTCCTTACTGTTAGAACTTATTTAAATGATCATTGAAAATTTAGCGTAATAGGAAACCCGAAGGATTCATTGCTGAATATTTTACAAAACTTGCCTTTCCCACCACCTTCTCCCAGCTTGCGGAGACGCAGACGCCGAGCCTGGGGCAAGAATGACATGCCGACTCCTGCTGCATCTCTTCCGGGCTCCCCAGGCCTGCTTCTTATCTCAAGCAACAGGTGAGCACATAGCTGAACAATCTCTGATAATATTTTCACCGGGAGCTCTACCTTCTAAAATGGTTTAAGTAGGCTGTCCCTTCCGTAAACCCCTTCCTGATTTTTGTGGACTTGGCCTGGAAGTGATAAAAGTGTGGGATGATGCCACTGAGAGGCCTGTCAGCACCTCTCGTTGACGTAATACCAGGTGTCAGGATGTGTTGAGAAATCTGAATTAAGAGCTAATACACAATAAAAATACCTCCGCTCTCAGGCCATGCCATGCTGGTGGGCAGCATAATCCTGTACTGTGGAAAAGGTGGTGTGTGTTGCTTGCGAACCACACTGTAGCAGCTTAGGGCAGTGATGATTCATTTACTCTTTTACTAAAAGTAAATTCCTTTACTTAAAAGGAATAAGTGAGAATTGTAGGCGTGTTAGTGAAGCGTGTTCCTAAAGATCGTTTCCTTTTAGATATACATGCCTTGGTATGAGTATCCGCACAAGGGCGTCAAAGTGCCGCTAATCTCATTGATAAATCTCCCTGAGAGACAAGGACGTTGCTTTAATAATTTAATAGAAAAGGTTAAGTAAGGATTGTTGGTAATGTTTCCTCATAAATCTATAAATTATCAAGTCAGGGAAGCCAAAGGCAGTTAAGTGCCCACAACCTTACCGCAAGAGGCTGTGCTGGCCGTAAATGGTTACAAAATACTGTAAATGATGGCAGTGAGACTGTTCAAGGTGGGTTTTTGTTTTCATAGGCAAGCCTTTCCCTGGAATAAGATCGTCCTGTGATAGACACCTCTTGGCTGCAGCTCACAACAGCATTGAAGTGGGAGCCGTGTTTGCTGTTTTAAAAGCCATTATGATGCTTGGTAAGACTCTCCTGGCCCTACGCTTAATCACCAGAAACAGGAGAAGAGTCATTTGTATTCAGGTTTAAATTGAAGTGATATTATTGAAAACATGATTTTGTTTGTTTGTCTATCCTCCTTGAAAAAGCAGTAGCCTTTCTGCAGCCCACGTAGCATCAGACTCTCTGAGGATCCTGTACCTTGCTTACAGTGACTCGGGGAATTTCGGGAACATTACAAATGAACTGTGGTTTAATTTTATGATGTCTTATTCTGATGTGAAATAGGTCCTCAGGCCCACAGTGGTGTTTTGCCTTCACTTTTTATCAGAAATCATCCTTTGTGAGTGACAGGGTTGACGTTGTGATGTAAATAAAGGTTTAAATTTTAGGTTGTATTTCAGGCTCAAAACACCAGAAATCCTGGGTTTTAATCCTGGTATTTCTGCTTCTGTTGTGACCCTGAACTAGTTTTTATCCTTTTACTTTCATTTTTTCATGATCGTGCTATAATTATAGTGATGTTGATATTATTGATAAATTTATATTAAATATCACAGTAATTTTTTTCGCTTATATCATAATGTCCAATATATCCTTTACAACATTATTTGTATATATTATCCTAGAGCTTTATGTAGTACCTTAAAACATTGCTCTGTGAATCATAAAGAATATGAATGGTTAGGAAGTCTTGAATTCAGGTTCCTCATTCTAACTTTGGGTACTTTCCTTTGGCCTTGACTAAGTACTAGTTAGCCTCTTATGTTCCGAAGAAGATCTCTGATTAGAATGGAAAATTCCTGAGTGGATAGCAATTGTTTTAGGTGAGTCTGAAAGAATATACTTGAGATAACCCTGCCCTGCTTCAGAAATGTTATTTCGTGATGATGGGGACGGAAGACAGGATTTTCCTAAAACAAAGTATTGAAAGTTCATGTATAGGAAAGAAATTTTATACTAACATATTATTTTAAAATACCCATGAATTTTGTAATACAAAGAAAAAATAGAGCGACATTACAGATCATAGTCTTTCTTCTGAGCTTAGGAGCTGGAAGATTTATGTAGCCAACATTAAATGTTCATTTCAGCGAGTAAAATTTCTTTCCTATGATAATGTTTGAAGGGAAAGGCCTCTGGTCAGTTCTAGTTAATAAATAAATGCTGGGACTGTGAAGATAGGGATGGGCTTTTTTTCTATGGTATTTCTGATGCTCATCAGAGAGACTAGAAGATTAGGTCTTTGATAAAGTTATGTTGGAAGTTTGAATCCATCAATGACAGATGTTTTTACGGCAGAGACCTAGACGAGGGCCTTCTAGACACCTAGACACTAGCTTTGATTTGTATGACTGTTCTGATCCCAAGTAAAATTTGCCCACATCATTAAATATGCAAATAGTATGGAGAACTCTTCAGGTCCGAGAAGGTGCTTGGACGTCAGCAGAGCCTGAGGTGGGCACTGAACATTCAGTTTATTCTATTTTCTATGCAGTAGCATGAGGTTTTATGGGAGTAGCATGAGGTTTTATGGGACAGCCTCCCAGACCTTCTCTGTCATCCTAACATCACAACCAAATGAAGATCTAGTTTGGGAGTGGAGATGTGTTTGTTTCTTTGTTTTTGTTTCTGCAGAAGTTTCAATTTATCTACCTCCTCATGTCCTAACCAATGTCCTCTCAGTTCCTATCCACCAGGATATATTTCAAGTTAGGAAGATGGGACAGTTATGTAGAATTTGGCTTCTAATTTCTATAGTCATTTGACTCTAGGCATAGAGACAGTTATTTATATCTGCAAAGGGTGGAGAACACACACTTAACTTTGGGCACTTTTACAATTTAGTATTTCCTTCAGCTTCTTAGGAGCTCTCAAATTAAACTCTTTGGGTAGAGTGAGGTTAGTACTCTTTGTGTTTGTATTATAATAAGAAAGGTGTGATAATATATAGATAAATTGAAATATATTATTTATTTCTCCCTTCCTCTAGCACTACATATATCCACACATTAAACTACTCTTGATTTTTTTTTTTTCAAAATTTTTTTTAGCTGAATCAAAAATGTACCTTGTTTGGCCCGTGGGAATAAAAGACTATCTATAGTTACCTGTGCTTGGTTTTGCTTCTTATTGTAGGCACTGAAGGCCTCATCTCAATCATTTGTTGGTTCCAGGAAGTTTCTTGTCAAATTTTATTATGCTACTGTGGGTAAAGATGCAAGAGTCTAAAAGCTCTGCTGTATCATTTGGCTGTTCTTGTTACAAAATCATTTCACTCTCTTTTAAATGTGACCATTATTTTTCTTTCGTGGCTGGAAAAGATGTCTGCTTTCTAGCAATGCAAACATACTGTTCAGTTTTTCCCCCTAGAACTTTGGTTTGAGGCAGACATTTCCTTAGCTTCATTTCACTGAGTATACTAGAGATGTATCAGGTAAGGTTTTCTAATCTGGATATTGCAGAGAGGAAGGTGTAAGACATGGGTTATTCAATGAAGGCCCTACTTTCCAGGGCTTCCTTAGTATGCATTGCCCTTTTCCATTCCCAGGGAAATAAATCTCTCTTGTCAAGAAGTTGATAGTAAGGTGGGCTAAGGCAAAACTTTTCTCTTGACCTATGGATAGAAAATAAGTCATTGTAAGAGAAGAAATGGAAAAGGGACATCTAGAAGGGTGAGTAACCCATTTTTTCCTTGTCTATAAGTCAAATGAATTTGAATACATACATTCATGCTTGAGATATTGGTGAAATCAATGTTCTGTGATGATTAAGTGTGATTCGTAATGACCTTTCCAAGTTTGGTGAACATATATTTAATTCTTTAAGCAGAATAAGGAATGAGTCTCGAGTTTGCTTTGTCCCATGTTTGATAGAAACTTCTCTGGGTTCTGGCCTTTATTTTCTTGATCCATTCTCTCTGTTGCTGAGCAACTGGCTATGGAGTAGTTATGCCCTTCAGATATTTTAAATTCCTGAGAGTTAGGGTCATTTGCTTCTCAAATATTTGACAATATTTTTGAACTTCTGTGATTTTGCTTTTGTGATTCTATTATTTAGGAGATGCCAAAATTGGCAGTAACAATGTCAGCTCTTTAAAGAATGATGACTTCACCATGAGAGGCTTACGACGTGATGGGAATGCTGATGATATCTGGACCGCTGCACAAAATTCTAAACCCTGTGGAAAAAGCATTTCCATAGAAACCGCTAATTTAAGGGAATATGCTAGATACGTACTAAGGACTATCTGCCAACAGGTATTCTCCTGCTTTAATTCGCCTTTTTTACTTTGAATACATTACTTCTTTTGGAGACTGCTGGTCACAACTGGCGGAAATTTGGACATAGGTAGTCCCTTTTCCCTCTGCTAATTTTATTTTTTATTAAGTTTTAATATTTGCTGAAAAGATGCATGATTTTTTTTT